CCTCAAACTAGCACACAAATCTAGTACCGATCATCAAGACAAAGAGTGGACCTTTTATTAAAGCTTTATTGATCTAGGTGTGCTTATTCTTTTCACTCGATTATTTATTTATTTATTCTTACTATCCTAGAGGATCAAAGATGGAAGCATGGTTCAATGTGTTGATCTATTAAGCTCTTTAGCGATCCATGAAGTCGAGCATTAGGTCAATGACTCCCAAACCAGACGGCGTTAGCGCATTAGGTGTTTAAACACCCCTAACGACTTACAAGCTCAAATCAACTAGGCTACAAATCAAAACAACCTCCATCTAATCATTTCATACTTCTCACCTTTTAGGAGAAGTCCTCACTTTTTTCTTCTTCTTCATTTTTTTATTTTTATTTTTTATTTTTTATTTATTTTTTATTTATTTTATTTTTTTCTTTTCTTTTCTTTAAGTTATTAACCTAGAGTTTGGGCCCTCCACCTTTCGGCGTAAGAAATTCAATGCTTGATGAGGCTAGAACCCCGGTTACTTAGTGAAAAAGATTTGTTATCCACCTCTATTAAGAATGAAAGCTTTCAATGCACTACTAGCTCAATTGGGATATAATCAAATCAATGGTCAACAAAGCATATACCCCACAAATGAATGCTAGTGTGCACCTGTGCTAGTGTAGAATTCTAGAGTGAATCTCAAAATAATCACAAAATCAGGATGATGTGGACCTCAAATGCAAGCAAGATATCAATCTTTCAAAAAATTTACTCCTCAATGGCATCCACAAAGTATACAAGGAGTATTGGACTCTTAAGTCAAGTAATTTTTAAATTCTAAGTATCATGATCCTCAAAAGATTAAAATCATGGCTCAAGACTCTCAAATCATACCACATGCATAGAATGTAAGTGTGACATGTAAAATATGCTAACACACTCACAAACTTAATCTGTGCATTATCCTCAATGTATTAAGAAACAACAGATAATGGAGAGAGTATACCAAATGGGTGAAACAAAAGGGACCCGGTAACGGAAGCTTAGCTTTGGAAGGCGCACTCCCAAACTTGGATTCTAAAAACCTATCAGGTAATGGTCACACGAGCAAGTGTCAAAGCATATGCATCAATGATATAAATGAGAATAAGAAATGAAGCACACAAATGTTATATGTCATGGGATAGAGAGAGAAGAAATGGCAAACCCAACATATGAAACCATTTTTTTTTTTTTTATCGATCGAGAATTTCTTCAATCGATCAAAATAGCCCACGATCGATCGAAAAGCTTGAAGAATGAAGCCCTGGGCACAAAATTTTGCGTCGCAAAAATGATTGATCGAAATCAATTTCGATTGATCGAAAACACTATTCGATCGATCGAACATTTTCGACGGATTTTCGATCAGTCGAAATTGAGGTCAATCGATCGAAGAGAGCAGGCCCTGAAAGTAAGAAACATGCAGATTTTGAACATTCACAATATGCCTAAAAAACTTCAATGAAATAGCGAAAGATCATTATTAAGATGCTACAAAAATGAAAGACTAGAAAGAAACTGAAGAGATAGAGTTTGGAAGCTCTATTGGAACTAGGTTTAACGTCTCTGGACGACGTTAAAACAGTTTCAAACATCAACATAGACTAGATCCACCAAGAGGGCAGATTCCATATATCTTTGGAAAACTTGCCCTTCAATGTAGGGCTTCAACCTTTGTTCATTTACTTTAAATGTAGTTCCATCTTTTAAGCTCTGTATCTCAACCGCCCCATGGGGCGAGACAGAAATAATCTCATATAAGCCTTCCCATTTAGTACGCAACTTCCCGGGAAAGAGTTTAAGCCTAGAATTGAAGAGCCATGCTCTTTGACCGGGTTCAAAAGATTTCTTCACAATATGTTTGTCATGAAAAGCTTTAGTTCTTTCTTTATAGAGTTTGCCATTATCATAAGCATTGTGTCTCAACTCTTCCAACTCATTCAACTAAAGTAAACGATTCTCTCTAGCTTTGTCAAGGTCAAAATTGAGCTTTTTAACTGCCCACATAGATTTGTATTCTAGCTCAACTGGAAGATGGCAAGGCTTTCCATATACAAGTCTATAAGGAAACATGCCAACGGGAGTCTTATATGCCGTTCGGTAAGCCCACAAAGTATCATTCAACTTGCGTGACCAATCTTTTCTGGTTGTGTTTAATATTTTCTCAAGAATTTGTTTAATTTTTCGGTTTGAAACTTCTACTTGCCTCCTCGTTTAAGGATAGAAAGGGGTGACGACTTTATGAGTAATGAAGTACTTGAGAAATAATTGCTTCAAGAATTAATTGCAAAAATGCTTTCCTCCATCACTAATCATGGCTCTTGGCATACCAAAATGAGTGAAAATGTTGGATTTAATGAATTGAACAACCACGGAGTGGTCATTCGTTTTGGTAGCACAAGCCTCCACCCACTTAGAAACATAATCAACGGCAAGTAAAATGTATTGAAAGCCATAAGACATAGGAAAAGGACCCATGAAATCAATGCCCCAGATATCAAAGATCTTAACAACAAGAATATTTGTCAAGGGCATCACGTCTCTTCTTGACATCGATCCCATCTTTTGACATCTCTCATAGTCCTTGCAAAAATATTAGGTATGTCTATGGATGGTGGGCTAAAATAGCCCACTTTGAAGGACCTTTAAGGCGGTTTTCTTTGTACTAAAATGCCCACCACATGCAAGGGTATGACAAAACGCAAGGACACTTGGAACCTCACTCTCCAAAATGCATCTTCTCACAATTTGATCCAGATAATATTTAAAAAAAATGGGATCGTCCAAATAATATTTCCAGATGTTGGCAAAGAACTGATTCTTTTCTTGCCTTGACCAATTAGTTGGAAGCTTGCCAATTGCAAGAAAATTTACAATGTCAGCAAACCAAGGCATTTTTCCATTAGAAATTTGGAAAATTTGTTCATGGGGGAAAGAATCATGAATTGGTGGGTGTGGAGGGAAAAAATCCCCCCTCCAATAGGAATTGTCCACGTCATCACACTACAAAATTATTCTAGGTACAGCAAGGGCCCATTCGGTGTCGAGCCCAAATTGGGGGAACCCAGTCCAAAACAAGCCCAGACAAAGTCTTGGCTCCAATATAGATCACAGACCTAGGCTATCCGGCCCACCTTCCAAGCCCGGAAGTCAACAGCGCAGAGCACCAAGGGTGAACTCCAAGCCCATTAGCTGAATCGTCTAGATCAGTCCACATTCAGCCCAATCTTAGTTAAAGGTAAACCAATCTTGCTAGGCCAGGGAATCAACAAAGAAAGCAAGTTTTGTGCAAGGAAAATCCTGCATGGAAAGAATTATAAAAAGGAAAGGATTGTAATTGTAAAGAATGTCATATATGGAATGGATTGGAGGACAAGCCATGCGAATCCTACCATAATTCCACCACCTTGTTTCTTATAAATAGAGGCTTAAACCTCCAATAAGATCATCGAGCATTATATACTTATTCTAAGTTTTATTTTTGCTTATTCTGGGTGAGTTGTATTTTTTCTTTTTATTTATTTTAATAGAGAGAAATTTTGCATCTACACTTTGGCGCCGTCTATGGGAAGCGTATAGAAAGATACTCCCACTTTTGTTTCAAATTGTTTTTGTTTCCACGATCTGGAATGTCGAACGGAGAATTAACGGCGGTTGATCAACAGATGGAGTTGATGCGAAAGATGCGAGAAGAGTTCTTGCACCAATTCGAGGCACTTCTTCAGGTGCATAAAGCCTGTGTAGCCCAGATTGCATTACTTTAACAGTAAAACGACACCCTTCAAACGGCTATGGCTCAGTTGACACCTCAGCCACCACTAGTTGACGGGGCTACGCCTCCTCCCAACCAAAAAGAGCCTCAGCTCAATGGGGTTCGGCTTAATGAAGTTCGGCCAAGCGAAGTTTAGCAAGAGCAAAGGACAAGGTCTGAGGTGGTAGTTTCGGACAATCTTCCTCGTCGCACACAGGACGAATAGGCTGAATCCAACCGTAAACTTACGGTATGGTCTAATAGTGTTCCAGATGGTGCAGGAGTAAAAGAGGCCTTTGACGAGAAGAGACTCCTGAGAGTTCAAATACCTGCAGAGATGGCCAGGGAACATAAGAATTCTCTCGTGAAGACTCCATTCACTAACGATGTGTACCTTATTGACAGACCAAAGAAATTCACTATGCTTTCTTTTACCCAGTTTGATGGTACGGGAGATCCTTCTCGGCACCTAGATCACTACGCACAAAATATGGCTCTGGACGATCACAATGACCCATGGATGTGCAAAGTTTTCCTTACCAGTCTAACGGGGGCTGCGTTGGAATGGTTCAGGAATAGGCCACACAAATCTATTCCAGACTACGAAACTCTATGCACTATGTTCCTGGCGCAGTATTGCGGTAATAAGAAGCAAAATAAGAGTATTCCTAGCCTTTTCACTATAAGGCAAAAGAAAGGCGAAACATTACAAGATTTCTTGTCCAGATTTAACATGAAGGCTTCGGAAATAGCAGATTGCCATCCTGCTACCGCAATAGAAATGTTCAGACTTGTGATGATTCAAGGAACCAAGTTCCATACATCCCTAGTTAAGTATTCCCCTCCGGATATGCAGACTCTCAATGCTAAGGCACAGATCTATATCCGGCTTGAGAAGAATGTGGCCCACCGAGCTCAACATGCCAACCTCGTCACAGTGGAGAACAAGCCACAGGAAAGGGTTTCAAACTCAAAAGGCCGAAAAAACCAACATGCTTTAGCACCAGTCATTCAAATACCCGAGAAAAGGCAAAGGACAAAGCAAAGGTTCACACCTCTTCGCACAACCTTGGCTCGGCTATTCAAGGAGAATAAAATAAAGTTTGCAGCCCTTCAGCCAATAAGGCAACCATTGGAATAGATAAACAAGACCAAGCACTACGCCTACCACAGAGATTACGGGCATACAACTAATGATTGCAGGTCCCTTAGGCGGCAGGTAGAAAACATGATACTGAAAGGTGAATTGGTAGACTACCTCACAACAAAGGAGTACATGGAGCCTTGGGAGGTCAATCCTCGGAAAGTCGAAGGTAATCAAGTGAAGGTCATCCATGCAATACATGGAAGGTCGGAGGATGATCAAGAATCAGAGGAGGTTTATAAGTCCCGATTGAGAACAACCCATAAGCTAAAGAGGTTATCCTCGGTAAACGCTATCACTTCGGAAAGCGTCAACATTGGGTTTGGCGATGGAGAACTATCCAAAGTTCAACTTCCCTATGAGGATCTATTGGTCATCAGTCTTTTGGTGGCGAATTGCATGATTAAGAGGGTTTTGATAAACCCGGGTAACAGTGCCAACATCATCACAAAGGCAGTCTTTGAGCAGCTAGAGATTCCGTCATCATCAATTCGGCACACCTCTAGCCTATTGATGGGGTTTAATAGTACAAAGGTGGACCACCTTGAGGTAATTGACCTAACCGTAACTGTAGCAAAGAGGACACTGAAGGAGGACTTTGTCTTAACGGAGATCCACCCTTCCTATAATCTCATTATAGGAAGAGGCTGGATCCACCGAATTAATGGGGTTCCATCTACCCTTCATCAAGTGATGCGATGCTTGTCTCCGAACGGTAGAGAGGTTAATTGTAGAGGGAAATTTCCCCACCAATCATAACATGCCATGTGTCCGCAGAACAATTATAAAGAAGCAAGCCCAATCAGCCCACACAACTCAGGAGCCTGATCAAGAAGGGCCTTAGGAAGACCAAAACGGCCCACTTGGCTAAATACAACCCATTCAATAAAAACAACAGGTTTAAGAGGCGGCCCAACCCATTTGTATTTAAACGTTGTAACTACCATTTACATTCAAACTGTGTAACACCCATATGCAAACATCACTTTGTAACCTTCACAATGAGAGTAATGGCATGAAATAAGGGCACCATGAATGCCCACATTCCAAAAACCGCCAGTAACGGCTCCATGTAAGGCTCTGCAAAAATGTATAAATAGAAGGTGAATGAGAAAGAGAAGGATCATTGAATTCCACTGAAAATATTTCTTCTACTGTCTGATTCATTTACATTTATTCTAAGTGCTTGATTTTTAGCTTAATATTTTCCTTAAGTGTTTGGGTGTAAAAATTTACACCTACACTTTGGCACCATCTGTGGGAAGTGTTTGCAAAAAGCCTTTCCATTATCACTTTCATGCGACATCGATCTGGAACGGCAATAGGATCAGATGCTGCGCAAGTTCAACAACAAGAAGTTATGCAGAAAATGCGCGAAGATGCAAATGCAATTTGATATCCTTCGGCAAGCCAATGAAGCTAGCAATGGAGAGATCATTGCATTGAAGTAAGCTAGTGGGGCCAATATAACGTAAACCAATGCTCTGCATCAAGAGAATGAAGGACTCCGAATTACTGTTCGACAAACAGATCCACTGGTCGCCCCTCGGCCAGAGCGTCCGAACGACCCAAGGGATCCACCGGTCGCCCCTCAGCCAGAGCATCCGAACGACCCAAGGGATCCACCGGTTGCCCCTCAGCCAGAGCGTCCGAATAACCCAACGGATCCACCGGTCGCCCCTCGGCCAGAGCGTCCGAATAACCCAACGGATCCACCGGTCGCCCCTCGGCCAGAGCGTTTGAACGACCCAAGGGATCCACCGGTCGCCCCTCGGCCAGAGCGTCCGAACGACCCAAGGGATCCACCGATCGCCCCTCGGCCAGAGCGTCCGAACGACCCAAGGGATCCACCGGTCGCCCCTCGGCCAGAGCGTCCAAACGACCCATCGGATCCACCGGTCGCCTCTCGGCCAGAACGTCTGAACGACCCAAGGGATCCACCAGTCGCCCCTTAGCCAGAGCGTCTGAACGACCCAACAGATCCACCGGTTGCCCCTCGGCCAGAGCGTCCAAACGACCCAAGGGATCTACCGGTCGCCCCTCGGCCAGAGCATCCGAACGACCCAACGGATCCACCGATCGCCCCTCAGCCAAAGCGTCCGAACGACCCAAGGGATCTACCGGTCACCCCTTAGCCAGAGCATCCGAATGACCCAATGGATCCATCGATCGCCCCTCAGCCAGAGCGTCCGAACGACCCAAGGGATCCACCGATCGCCCCTCGACCAGAGCATCCGAACGACCAAATAGATTCACCGATCGCCCCTCGACTAGAGGGTCCGAACAACCCAAGGGATCCACTGATCGCCCCTCTACCAGAGCAACAGAACAACCCAATGGATCCACCGGTTACCCCTCAACCAGAGCGTTAGAGCGACCCAATGGATCCACTGGTGGCACCTGGACCAAACAACCGTCTGCCACAATAGTAGGCCCCTCGACAACAAATGTCCAACATGGCGTTGTGGACGGGAATGAGGGTGGAGATACAACGAGCCAATCTCACGTCATGGCAGATCACTCGTTGGGGCGGCCACAAACTACGAAAGAACCCACCTCCGAAGATCATACCGAGTCGGGAAGAAAAAGTTCCTGTGTCCCAGGCTGGGACCAACAATTGCCACGAAATGACATGATTGACAAGTTCCGAAAAAAAATGGACAAGCGCATTAAAGGGTCTCTAGGCTTTCCTCACCCGGTTCAACATGGAATCTTTAGAAATTCTGGATTGCAATCAAACAACAACTATTGAAGCATTCAAAATAACCATGATACAAGGCACACATTTTCATTCTTCACTTATAAAGAAAATTCCAACAGACATGTCAGAATTGAACGCAAAAGTGCAGAATTATATCAGGCTCGAAGAAAATGAGATGATCAGACAGCAGAGGGCGACCCTAGTTACGGTGGAAAGCCGACCGAAGGAATGCCCGAATAGCTCAAGAGCTCGGCGGGAACCCCTAAGGATCGAAGGAAGAGCTCCTGAGAAAAGGTCACGAACAGCAGAGAAAGTCACACCTCTTAAGGTCACACTGGCAAGGCTGTATCAAGAAACTAAAGCAAGGAAACTCTTTCCGCTCCCTCCACCTATCAGACAACCAATGGATCAAAGGGACCAAAGTAAGCATTGTACTTTTTATAGTAATTTTGGACACTTAACCAATGATTGCAGAAGTCTGAGAAGACAGGTGGAAGCCTCTATAGCCAAAGGTGAACTAGCTAAGTATCTAGTTGATCCAAGTCATCCGAGGCAAACTGAACGTGCTAAACCGGCTCCAAGGGTTATGGGAGATAATCAACCCCTACGGGTCATTAACAAAATTCATGGCCATCCAAAAGAGAACGAGCAGCTTGAAAACTCTTACAGGCTATAGCTCAAGTAAACCTATAAAATGTAAAAGATTGGGGAAGTTAATTCGGTAGAAAATCGATTAAACGCGGCACAGATTTTTTTTTTCATAAAGGGGACCTACGAAGGGTGCAGCACCCACACAAAGATCCCTTGGTGATTAGTCTGTTGGCAGTAAACTGTACTCATTGATCCCGACAGCAGCACCAACATCATAACTAAGTGGACATTTGACCAGCTGAAACTCAATCTGGAATAGATCCAACCCACTTGGAACCATTGGTAAGATTTGATAGGAAAAGAGTAGAGCGCATTGGTGTGATTACGCTAACAGTCTCTGCAGCCAAAAGAACCTTGAAGAAGGATTTTGTGATCGTGGACATTCATCCGACCTACAACCTGCTCATGGGTAGAGGTTGGATCCACCGAATAGAGGGAGTCCCATTAACTCTACACCAGGTCACAAGATACATGAGCCCCAATAGGCAAAAGATTATCAATATCTGGGGAGATTAGGTGGCAGCGAAAGAGTGCTACCATACCACAATCCAACCAGATGATAAGGGGAAGTAAGTACTGAAATGGCAATTACCAAGCTCCTCTCCTCCAAAAGAGAACAAGGAACCTGAGGAAGAACGCCCAACTGAAGAACCCCTAGAAGTAGTACATCGCAAGGAAGGAACAAAAAGTAACTTATATTGGGGCCCTCCAGTCACCCGAAGAGAAGGACGAATTGACAAAAGTCCTAAGGCAGAACACTGGGACATGCCAGGAATCAGCCCCAAAGTGGCATAGCACAGACTGAATGTGGATCCAAGCTTTTTCCCAGTGAAACAAAAATAAAGGAGGTTCACCCCAGAAAGGAATAGAATCATTGCAGAGGAGGTTGATCGACTCCTAAAAACGGGATTCATTTAAGAAGTCCAGTATCCACAATGGCTCACAAATGTAGTCGTTGCCCAAAAGGAGAATGGCAAATGGAGGGTGTGCATTGATTTCACCAACCTAAATAAAGCCTGCCCCAAAGATAGCTTCCCACTCCCGAAGATCAATTAAATGGTGAATGCTACAACTGGGTATGAAAGACTAACGTTTTTTTATGCTTACTCAGGTTATAACCAAATCCCGATGATAAAAAGAAGACCTCTTTCATCACCGAATGAGGTACCTACTACTATAAGGTAATGCCCTTCGCAAGGGTAACCTATCAGCGGTTGATTAACAGAGTGCTCGAAAAGCAAATCGGGAGAATAGTCGAGGCTTACATAGATGACATGGTAGTAAAGAGCAAAGAGAACAAAGATCATTTACAACGCCTGCAAGATGTGTTTTGACACTCTCAGGAAACACAAGCTAATGCTAAATCCAGCAAAGTGTTCATTCGGGGTGTCCTCGGGCCAGTTCCTAGGCAACCTAGTGAACAAGAGGGGAATAGAAACGAGCCCCGCTCAGCTAACCAAGCTGCTCTAAAGCAAGAAGCCTCAGACCATGAAGGACGTCCAAGTCCCCACTAGGCTAATAACAGCCCTCAGTCATTTCATATCCATATTATCAGACAAGTGTAAACCGCTCTTCGATGCCATAAAAGCAAATAAGGGTGAAATATGGGGTGCAGAGCTACGAGAGGCTCTCATAAAACTCAAGAAGCACATGACTAGTCCACCCACTCCATCCGCTCCTACACCCAATGAAACATTGTACTTATACCTAGCAATATCTCAGTCAGTAACCAGCTCGGCCTTGGTTATAGAGGTGAGTAAAAAAAAAAAAAAAAAAAAAAAAAAAAAAACACCCTGTCTTTTACTCAAGCAAAACTATGACGGACTCCAAAAGTAGATACTCAGTAGCAGAAAAAATCGTCCTCGCCTTAATCTAGGCAAAAAAGAAAGCTCAAACACTATTTTAAAGCCAAACTAGATAATCGTCCCCACGACATATCAGATCAGAGCAATCCTAAACAAGCCTGATATCTCAAGAATAATTATCAAGTGGGCAATTGAATCAAACTCCTTTGACATACGATATTAACCTTGCACCGCAAAAAAGAAAGGGGGCAGATGGTCACAAATTTCCTCTTGGAAACTATTCTAGGAGAAGAGCAACAGATTGCAGAAAATCCCCTCTGGAAATTATTCGTAGATGGCTCCTCAAGCCAGAATGGTGCAGGAATAAGACTGGAGATCGTAACCCCTGAGGGGACTAGACTCCATCATGCAATCTGATTAGAGTTCCCTGCCATAAACAATGAAGCAGAGTACGAAGCACTCCTGACAGGACTAAGGTTGGCTAAAGAGCTTCAGGTAAAGCATCTTCTAGCCTTTAGTGATTCACAACTCGTTACTAAATAAGTGACAGGTGAATACATCCTAAGGGAAGAAAGGATGGGTGCATACAAAGAAGAAGTGGAGAATCTGGCAAAAGGTTTTGACACAATAGAATTCAGGCAAACCCCAGGCGAAGGCCCTAAGTGTCGAATGCCATACTAGACCAAAATCTTCCAAAAATTTGGCAAAGTACAAAAGGCCAAATGGCCCCAAGTGCCGATTGCACCAAGAGGCAAAGGCCCCAAGTGTCGAACGCCATAATAGACCAAAATCTTCCAAAGATTTGGTTAAGTACAAAAAACCGGACGGCCTTAAGTACCAATCGCACCAAGAGGCAAAGGCCCCAAGTGCCGAACACCATACTAGACCAAAATCTTCCAAAGATTTGGCTAAGTACAAAAAACCGAATGGCCCCAACTGCTGATCGCAACAAGAGGCAAAGGCCCCAAGTGCCGAAAGCCATACTAGACCAAAATCTTCCAAAGATTTGGCTAAGTACAAAAAGCCGAATGGCCCCAAGAGCCGATCACAAAATAGGTGAAGGCCCTAAGAGCCGAACGCCTAATTAAGCTTGACCAGTAAAACTGCTCAAGTCCCAAAGAGTCGAACGGCTCACGAAATAGGTGAAGGCCCTAAGAGCTGCGAGGAATAAAATACGTCTTCGGACCCCAAGAGTCTGAAGACTTCAAATTCCTCTAAAGCACAAAGTGCTGCCAAGGAATAAAATTCGTCTTCGGACCCCAAGAGTCCGAGGACTTCAAAAGAGCTGCCGAGG